CGTGGTATCACATTCCATATTTGGACTATTTTTGGCTGTGCTATGGCTAATAAACTGATTTTTTTGCGCCCAAAGTCAAGAATACGTCTTTTAACAGCAGTAATATCGGTTTTGTTGCCGTTTCTTAGCTCTAACTTTGTCAAAACAGGACGCATAGCTAAACCAGTGACTGTTTTATGCAGCTTACATCCGACACTTTAAGCCCCTATACTTTTAACATAATTTGTCTGATTTTTTGGTTCGAGCTCTGATTTAATGCCTGAAAAATCAGAAAACCGATTTTTAACAGAAATTTGCAATACTGTGTTTGGTCTTGTAGCGCTAACTCGGTCAAAACAAGACTCACAGCCAAAAGAACAACTGTTTTGTGCTGCTAACGACCAAAACTAAGCACCCCTATCACTCGATTTTCGAATTTGGGAAAATCAATTTTGGCCCAAATTTCGCATTTTCGATGCGAAAATCAATCATCAAAATTTTCAAAAATGGGCCAAAAATTAAGTTTCCCAGATTTGAATGCACATCAATTGGCGATCATAGCAATTAAATTACGAGCCGTTCGAGATATGACATTCCATATTAGGACCATTTTTGGCTGTGCTATGGGTAAATAACTGTTTTTTGTGGCCCAAAGTCAAGAATACGTCTTTTAGAGCCCAGATTCTTGCCCTTTCTTAGCTCTAACTTTGTCAAAACACGAGGGACGGCTGAAACAGTGACTGTTGTATGCAGCTAAATACCAAAACTTTAAGGCCCTATACTTGCTTTTATCATTATTGTTCTGATATTTTCTTGCTAGCTCCAGTTTATGGGCCGAAAAATCAGGACACCCATTTTTAACAGATATTCGCAATAGTGTGCTCGGGTTTTTAGCTCTAGCATGGTCAAAACAAGTCGCACAGCCAAAAGAACGACTGTTTTGTGCTGCTAACGACCACCACTTACCACCCCTATCATTCGTTTTTCGATTTTGGGAAAATAAATTTTGGCCCAAATTTGGCATTTTTGATAAGGGGTACCATCATCAAAATTTTTAAAAATGGGCCAAAAATGAAGTTTCCCAGATTTGAATGCACATCAATTGGGGATCATAGCAATCAAATTACGAGCCGTTCGAGATATGACATTCCATATTTGGACCATAATTGGCCGAGTTATGGGAACAATACTGTCGGATTGAAGGGAAAATAAAGGTAGCCGAAAATAAGGAAAAACATCATACAAATTTGAAAAAAAAATTACAGAAATTTGACATTTTCAACTGTGAATGCAGTTCGACTAGGAATTAGAAATCAAGTTCAACGAGGTATGCCATTCCATGTTAGGACCATTATTGGCTTAGTTATGGGGCACAATACTGTGCCTTTCGAGGGTAAAATCGGGCTTAGCCAAATATTGCTTTATCGATAGGGGGTACCATCATCCTTACGACAAGATCTCCAATAAAAGCTATGCTCCGTATGCTGCTTAAGTGTTTATTCAGATTCTCTAAACTTCGACTTGGTTAATTTCATTAAAAAGAATCAAGAGATCCACCTTGTTGATTCGCTTCCTGAAAGATTATTCAGTTTTCCGGTGGGTACGATTCTGCCTGTCATTTGAGGTAACTCTCAAATAAACCAAAATAATCCTGGCAGTCATTAATCAAGAGAGCTCACTCCCTCAATTCTTTTGCCCGAAAACTCTTTCCACTAACTGTTACTTCTGCTGACGGGCTCTGTTTAGCCCGCAATTTAAATGAATTTTTTCCACACTTCATTTTCATTTATTCTGTGTCATGCTCTATCATCATTAAAATGTCCAAATCGCTTCCTTTGTGCCTCTATTTTTCGGCAACAATTTGCTTATCTTGACTCACCATCAACAGGCAGACACGAGGGTACCACAAAATACAGGTGACTATACTATATACGTATATATATGTATGTGTGGCATATCTGGGGTCTGTTGGTGGCATGGAAATCACTTGAGCGTGTTTCCTTTTGACCAGGCCAGGTCGGTTGTTCAACGTTTGCACTTTGTGGCTTTCCATTTGGGCCAGCCGCCCTGCTGCCCCGCCCCCTTTTCCACCTGCAGCATTTTCACACTCACTTCATTTAATTTAATTTGTGCATACTTTTTCGGCTGCCGCGGCGTGGAAAAACATTGTAAACTGATACGAGCTTAATGATGTCGATCCCCTCCCCTTTGTGCCTTAGGTCCTAGAGAGGTGATTTTGGGTGTTAGATTACACTGGGGAAAATGTTATTTGGAAGTAGTTAGATTGTTTGAAATTGAAATATGTTGTAATTACTAAAGCAGTGATTGGAGAGAGGAAGTTTTAGTTTGGAAAAATATATTTTTTCTGCACTACGGACTTAGTTTTCGATTTAGTATTTTGAGAAAGAATGCTATACCATGGAAGAATGTTATACAAAGTACTTATTATTCAACCTAGTATTTTAGCAAAAGCTTTTTCTCAGTGTAACCGTTTCTATGTGTGCCTAAGCATTAATTAGTTTTAATGAAACTGTTGCTGATGTGCGTGTGAAGTGTCGCAAATTGCAGACAAAGGCCCGAAAGTTCTTTCTTTCGGGAGTGACAGTTGACAGGCTGAAATTGTGGCGATTAATGTGGCAAGTGTTATTTTTTTTTTTTTTTGAGGAATCGTGGATGCGCATCGATAGTTAACCAAATCCCTGATTCGTATCTCCCCATGCAGAGCCTGGATTCGGTTTTAGTTTTGGTTTTGGTCAAGTGTCGATAAGACAACCTTTGGCTTCTCTCTCGCTGCAACGCTCCTAAAAGGGGGCAAGAGGAGCAAAGGCTGAAACGACGTAATCGAAAACCAGTTCTGCGGCTGCAAAAATGTTCATTATAGGGATTTCTCCTTTGTGTATTGTGTACATAAGGCCCTGAAAGCGGTTTGGCAACCCTTTTTGACACACAAACACCATTGCATGTGCTCCCTTGTAAATGCAGTTTTTTAACGAGGCACGTACATATGCCTGTTTAGATGCCACTTCGATGCATTTGCAGCTTTTTTTGTTGCTGCCTTGCAATCACGCCGCTGTTGCATGTTGCATGATGCATGTGCGTGCCCCTTGCGCCGGGTGTCAGGGTGGCTCGCTCTTGATCTTGAGGGGATTACCAGTTCAAGGTTGCCGGTGGGTAGGTTAGAAATTCTGTTTTTAAAAGTAAATATTACATTTTTTGTTTTGAAGTTGGGATAAAAATGCTTTAAAATGATCAAAGTTGAGTGATTTCAGATTTACGAATAATAATGATTATAGTTCATTTATATATAGTGAACCAAACTGTTTATAAACAAATATTAAGAAGAAAATATAAAGTTTCCTCTAAGTAAGATGTTAGTATTAAGATAGATTTTCTGCATCACAAACTTGTCCGCTCAAAAGAGTGTCCGTAAAGTCGCCATGTTTTTGTAATACATATCTTCTTGAGGCACCCTCTTAACTTTCAGTTAACTCGCTACCCCAGCTATATATAACTCGATTTATGTACGTACTCTGTCAGACTTTGTACATACATTGTTTATGCAATTCTCGTGACTCCTTTTGGTTCTGTTGTCCGCTCGTTGTGGTTTCATATTCGCCTGGCTCTTGGCAGCTCTTCTCCGGGCCTGCTGTTATTGTTTATTCCGCTTTGGAGGCATTCATTTGGCCGCTCCTCAGCGGAGTCCGTCCCGAAGTCCGCTGCTCCTTAGACCTTGACCACTAACATAGAAACAGGCCAGAACCGGTTCCCCAGCCAACTCGATTTGCACAATTGGCCCTCCTGCCTGCAGACCCCTCTATCTTTCATTCCCCTATCCATTGCATATATCCCATATACATATATATATATATATATATATTTATATATCGGAGTAGTCAGTTGTGGGATTCAATTACCGAATCACACCCACACAGTCGGCAACTGCGCTGGATTCCGCTTTGAGCTCTTCAGCTGTCAAACCGCCAATTAATGGCCCAAACTCTGATGGCCAACTGATGGACAAAGAGTGTCACAAATTATTGAAAACGTTTTCTATTATCATAATTATACCCTTCGGTGGAGAGGTATTTGAGTTTAAAGGTATTCCAATAACAGGAAATAAAAGCTAATGAAAAGTAGATAAAAAGTTGTATCCAACATTGACCAAAAAAAGTGAAAGAAGGTTAAAAATAAATATTTAAAAAATATTTATATGCACCTAAACTAATCTAAAGGGTGTTTAAAGTCTAGTTGACCCCTTGACAAAAATCACTCCCAACTTTTGGCTATTATAATATTTATCCATTGTTCGCACGCACCTCCCTCAGTCGTGTTTGGTGGGTGGAGATTACGGGCTGTGCATTTTAATTGATGCGGGATTATGGGTGTTGGATGGCTAGGAGGCCACCAAAGGCAGCCAAAGGGTTGCCGAAATTAATTACCAAAATGTTTGTTAATTTTCATAATTACAGGTCTGCTGGCACGACTTTTCCTTTTTGGGGGGAGAGATCGTGTGTGTGAGTGGAGGAGGAAGAATCGAAATTTGCCGCTCGATAAAGCAACTTAATGGCAGGCCTCGGGAAACGACTGAGCTCTGAGAATGTCTTCCGGAGTGTTGAGACCCTCATACCTTTCCCCCTAAAGACCCCCTATGATTCCCATTCCCCTCGAGATGACCTAATTCTGGAGGCTCGAGGAACAAAGGCAACCTACTTGTCATAATAAAAATTATTCAAAAACCGGCATGTGTGTATGGCGCTTCCTCCTTCTTCTCCTGATGGATTTTATTTTTTTGGAAATTTGATCCCCTAATGTTGTTGGCAATCACGTGTTCCAACCACGTATCATTTGACCCCTTTTCCATTCTCAATATAACCCCCTTTCTCCTGATCTAGAACGAAAAGCAGATGGGAACCCGACCTTGCTGGTAGTTCTTAGATTTCAAAACAACCCAACTAATTGATGCCCAACTTGTTGATGAACTCCGCCCAAATTGGAACACAAAGGAAGCACTCACTAAGCTCTTTAGGCGATTGAATATTTATTTGTTAATTGAACTGATACAAAGTTCCTTAGAGGTTGGTGAGGGCGTTCTGGGGGAAGTTAATTCATTACTCATCAGATTAGCAACAGTTCTTAAGTTCTTACAGCCAGATCGCCTAGGCCAGCATTTAGCTGCTTGATGTAGGGGGCAGCGGCATCGGCAGCAGCGGCAATGGTCTTGGCACTCACGGCCTGGAAAAATGGGAAAATATTATTAATATGTAGAAAATATAGTTCTGATTAAACTTCCCCCTCCTTCGGCTATGATGGAAGCTCCATCAGACTGAAAAAATATTTGTTAATAATTTTGGTTTTTATTTTATTTCATAACTTACTGAAAGACTGCGAGCCTGAGGATCGTTGGTCATTTGATAACTCAGACTGGTGATGGCATTCTTAAAAATATAAGGAGTTTCTATTAGTTTAGATTTTAAGCGACTAATTAGATCTATAACTTACAGCCAAATCTCCAAGACCAGTGCCAACTCCTCCCAGAACATCTCCAAGAAGATTGGTAGCCTCCGGTTCCATATAGTCAGTATCTACTTTCAAGTTAGTAAGGGCATTCTATAAAAGAGAAAGTTTTTTAGTAAATCTAAGACATTCCAGACAAGATCTTACAGCCAGATCGCCCAAGGCATTGCCCATATCGCTGAGGATATTCAGGGTGGTCGGCTGTACGAAATCCGACTGGGAGCTGGCCACGGCGTTCTCCAGTTGGTGGATAACCTTCTCCCCAGCAACGGCCACTTGGGAAACATCACCCATTAGGGAACCAAAGCTAAGGGTGCCAGCTTGGGCATATTGGGCCACCAGAACGATGACAAGAAGGGCAAGGATTGCAGGAGAGTGCATGTTGTAGTTTTTCGTAAAATCGGTGAATTACTGAATCACCTCCAGTAGCCACACTGCATTTATAGGTCGTTCTTATCTGTGGGTTTACGGGGGAGTTACGGGCTTCTTTGACGCCGCCAATAAAAACAAATCGCACTTGAGTGGCTAATGATTCCCCACTGATTGGCGGCAGGTTTGATTCTGATTGATCAGGTATTTGACTTAATTTCGGGGTATTCCTTACGATATCTTCCATGTTATACAATCTGGGAATGACAGTCTCAAGAGGCTCCTGGTATCAGGTGGCCAAAAATAAACCCACTGCATATAGCTCAGAAGTCAAAACAAACTGGGTAAGGGGATTATCTAGGGAGCTAGGGCTTAGAAAAATAAGAAATTGCTTCATCATTAAATGCTCGTTAATTTATTAAGTTAAATAAGTAAGAGAGGTACTCTAGAATAAGTCGTGGAAAAGGTGGCCTGCAGCATTTGCCACATCGCCAGCAGCATTTGCCACATCTCCTGCTACGTTTCCAGCTGCATTGGCAACATCTCCTGCTACGTTTCCAGCAGCATTGGCAACATCGCCAGCAGCATGTGCTGCATCTCCGGCTACATTTCCAGCTGCATTGGCAACATCACCAGCAACATTTCCAGCATCATGTACTATATTTCCAGCAGCATTTGCTGCATCACCAGCTACGTTTCCGGCTGCATTTGCCACATCTCCGGCAACATTGCTTGCAGCATTTGCTGCATCTCCTGCCACATTTCCAGCAGCGTTGGCCACATCTCCAGCAACATTGGCGCCAGCATTAGCAGCATCTCCAGCAACATTGCTGGCAGCATTAGCAGCATCTCCAGCAACATTTCCAGCAGCGTTTGCTACATCTCCGGCAACATTTCCAGCATCATGAGCAATAGTTCCAGCAGCATTTGCTGCATCTCCTGCGACATTTCCAGCTGCATTGGCAACATCTCCAGCAACATTAGTGGCAGCATTGCCGCATCTCCGGCAACATTTCCAGCTGCATTGGCAACATCTCCAGCAACATTACTCGCAGCATTTGCTGTACTTCCAGCTACATTTCCAGCAGCATTGGCAACATCTCCGGCAACTTTGCTAGCAGCATTGGCTGCATCTCCAGCTACTTTGGAGGCAGCATGTGCTGCATCTCCAGCTACTTTGCCAGCGGCATGGGCAACATCTCCGGCAACATTTCCAGCATCATGGGCAATAGTTCCAGCAGCATTTGCTGCACTTCCATCCACACTCGAGGCCACACCGGCAGCATCGTGAGCAATTGTTCCAGCGGCTCCAGCAGCACTCGAGGCAACATCATGTGCAACTTTGGCAGCAGCTCCATCACTGGAGCAGGTGCAAGCACAGGTCACGGAAGGGTTTTCTTTGTCAGTAGCAGTTGACCTTTTGCTGACAGACTTCTAAAAAGAAGTTTAAAAGTTGCTTAAAAATATTATTTAATCAACCAAAATTAGGCCTATACCTTAGATGTTTGGTTGGCTGATTGCTTAGCCAAGGCCTTAAGTTCCTCGCTGGCTGCTTCTTCCTATAAAAATAGAAAAAACAGATTCAATAATTTATAAAAATCCCATTAATTAATTATTTCAACTTACTGCTTCCTGGGAAACTTGGTGGCCAAAGTTAATGGCGCTGTTGGAAGCCTCCTGACCTAACTGGTCGCCCTCATCTCCCAATTCATGGCCAAAAATGTTGCCATCCATTCCAAGTTGCCAACCAGAGGAGGCATTTTCCTTTAACAGAATGATTCTTCATTTTTGAAGATTCCTCATTTAGATTTAAGATTTTTATGCTTACCGCTGCCTGTCCATAATGTAATCCGCTTTGGGAGGCCTCTTGGCCATACTGAATAATCTCTTGACCCAATTCATTGCCCAACTCGGAGGCATCGTGGCCGACTTCGCTGGTCTAAAGTTTCATATTTTATAAGGTAAGTTTAAAAAGTTTCCTTGATATGTAATTACCAAGTTACCCAGCACACTTTTGGCGCTGGCCTGGTGTTTTCCCGCCAGGAAAATCACCAACAAACAACTGACTACTATTAATTTCATGTTTGGATATCGAACTAAAGATATTGGCGACCTTTGCATGCTTTATATAGCAAAAATATAGCACTTTTATCTTCAGTGCAAAGTTCTTATCTAAGACCTACTTTGTGATCGATCCATTTTAAACTCTATATGGCTTTTGACAATTATTTCCTCTAGTCTAGGAAGACAAGTACGCAAAATAGTGAAAGATAATGAATTCGATGTCTTCCAAGTTTGGTGGGCTATCTTAGAGGTGTCTGGCATTTGATTAAATACCCTAATTATGTTCTAATTACATATATAGTTAATGCACTTGATATTTATGACTGTGTTACCCTTTAAGTTTAGGTAAGAACATATTTATTACTCAAATTAAAATAGCTAACATTATAATTATTTATGATTTGTTATCAAAATCTAAACAATCCGCTTTATTTTGGTTCTTTTTTGTGAATGAATAAGTTAAAGCTATTTTTATTATCGGTGAGTAAACTTTCTGGTAAACAAATCAATAGATAGCGACAATCTATATCTACATATCATCGCCTTTAAGCGGAAAGTACTTATAAGGATTGGGAATTCCATTGGGCAGTAGCCGCCTGGCAGTTCGTCGCATTTTCACCTTTTTGCTGAGGGTTTTCCGATCCAGTGACTTCTTCGGATTCCTATAGTTGTTGAACACAAAATTGAGGAAATACTCGGGCTCTTTTTTCTTCTTATCAGAAGAGGGTTTATTTCCTTTGGAGGGTTGGAAGGAAAACTGAATGTGGGCGTTGTCGGCTGGTTTGATGTTGAATACCTTTTTGTCCGGATCAGCGGAAATCAACTTCTCTAAATCAGACTAGAATTGTACTAAAGTTAGTAACTAACTAAACGTAGTCCCCTTGAAGAGCTCACAAACTTTTTCTCCATTTCTCGACCGTTCTTCTCGCTTATTTCTGCCATGTCTCCCATGGAGATCATAACCTTTGCCTGGATGTCTTTGGCAACCCAGACTAAAAGGGCAAAATATACTAGCAAAAGGGCTGTCATCGTAAAACTGCTTTAAAGTAAATAAAAAACGAAAGGGCTTGTCCGGAAAATCAGTTCGCTGCACTTAACTTCGATTCGAAACGCGGACTTTGCTTAACTTTTAGTTTCGTCTTTGGGTTTAGAATGAAGCTTCATACATAGACAGATTTTGTTAATAAAACTTAAGGCTAAGATAACCAAATAGACATTTTCATTAATATTTAACAATCTTTATTTATGCCTCAAACTTTATTATTTTTCATTCGAACACTAATCAGCTTTAAGCTATTCGTTCTCTTAAGTACCTGGAATGTAATAATGGCTCCGCTTGAGCCAGGTTTTCCATGAGATTCCGTTTTTTTCTTAATATATCTACCAAGTTTTACCTGAAAGAGGGTAAGTTAACTTAACATATTAAACAAAATTATAGACTTAAACTTACAAATGCCTTAGAGATGGCGTTGGATTCTCTATGATTGATTCCATTGCCCGACTCGAAATGCCTTTCCATATTTCCCATTGCTCCTTCGATTTCGTGTTCAATTTGTTCCCCCTCATGGGATTCTTCGGACTGTCCATAGAGCAGTGCTGGTCGGGGTAGAATCAGGAGGAGCAGGGCCACCGTCGCCACTGTTCGACTCACCTGCCTCATCTCATCCATTGGAGGCTTTAAAGGTGGACTCACTCGGTCGATATCTAATCCACTTAATCCGCGATTCTCCACAGAGACGCTTCAGCAAATCGCTTCGCTGCACTCTGCTCCAATCTCGGCTATATCTCCCTGACATATAGCCAATGTCAGCTGCTAGAGTTCTGAATCAAGCCATCGCTTTACGACGATTTTTATGCAGCCCGCCAGCGATTTGATAGATTTTTGCATAAAATGATTCCCAGCAGCGGAAGTCCGTTACGTGACATTTCGGGTGGTTACTCTCCTAATGTAAACAAGTTATAAAACACTCGTAAAAGGCCAGTGCGAAAGCGAAACTATGGCCACATAAAAAGGCTATAAAATCTATAGCTTCTGCTACCGTTCTGTATAAAAAATGGGAACAGGGCTGGGAAGTGCAACAGTCAATACCCTTCAGAGTAATATATATTATCAAATTATATTATATTATATTATATTATATTATAATAATTTATAATATTATCAAATTATAAAATGTTTTAATCATTTTACATATTTAAATTTAACTTAAGTGTAAAGTTAATAAAGTTAACTCTTAAACACTTCATGAATTTGATTTTATATCTTCATATTATAAAAAAAGATTAAATCATATAATTTATTCAAAAGTCAAAGTTATTTCTTTAAGGGTATACAATCAACAATAACAACACGACGTACATTTTCTACGTCATTTGCGAACTTTGCAAAATGCTAGAATCGTAAAAAGCGGGGTGCGAGCGACCTCAGGACCTCCGAAGGGGGTCAATAATGTGAAAAGAACAAGGGAAGTTCGAGTCAAAGGTGTCCTGAACCACTACTGTAACCCCAACTCTCATTATCGCAAAATCAAAATGCGTTTGTCAATGAATTAGAATCGCTTCGATGGCGATGTCGCTCGTAAAGTATTTGCCTTTGTTATAGTCCTTCGCTGAATTTTACTACTGTAAAATAAATGCGCAAAATAGTGATTCTCTATCTTAGGGGTAGAGTATTTTGTTTAGTTATGTACACAAATAACCTGATTATTATTCGTACTTTGCTGTATTTTAAACTTAGCGCCCACGAATTGACTATGTTTATTTGCGTACTAACTACTACTACTTTTTCCTACCGAGTGCCGGCAACACTGTTGAGAAACCAACCCCAAAACTATGCCAACCACCACATTGTACTCAAACTCAGCAGCTGCTATCTTTAAGTTGCTTATTTGACAACCAGCGTACATCGGCAGCGTGGCCGAGCGGTCTAAGGCGCTGGTTTTAGGCACCAGTCCGAAAGGGCGTGGGTTCGAATCCCACCGCTGTCAGGTTGAAATTTTTTTGTCCATCGGTTTTTTTATCTACTCCGATAAGTACAGAATTATTTAATATTTAGTCAATGAACGGTAAAATAGCTTATATAATTTAGTGATCTACAAATTTATTTAATTTACTTTAAACTTTTGCTCAGAAGTGTGTTTTATAAAAAAATTAATTTAAATATAATGTGTTTAAAATATACAACATTTTAAGATAATAAATTTTAATTAAAGGTTTCACTTATTTTCCATTATGGTTCAAGTCTTAAAACTAATATACTTCGGAGGAATGGGTATCAGTTGTGTTATTCCTGAAAAAGAAATAACAAACAATTTAAATATTTTTTCAGTATTACAGAGATTAACGGCTTGGAAAATAAACCTTGTGAGAGTCTAATACAAATACAATTGCCCTCTGGTAGTTGTTCAAAAAGAATTGTTCTATTTTTAGAAAAATAAACAATGTTTTTAGAGAGAACCTTGTATTCTGTAGACGGCTGTTGGCGCCTCGTTAAGGCAGCGTGGCCGAGCGGTCTAAGGCGCTGGTTTTAGGCACCAGTCCGAAAGGGCGTGGGTTCGAATCCCACCGCTGTCAAGTCAAAATCTTTTTTTTCGTATTTAACAGCGGGATGCTGAATTTTTACATATTCCACGCCTAATTAGACCTCGCGAAACGGGACCCCTGACCCGGGGCCAGTTTTTCCGGAACACAAAGACCCCGTTTATCTGGTGCTGACATTTTCCGCGTGCTACGTTTCAACTTTGCCGTCTGTCAGCTCAACCCTTTTTGCGGTAACATGTTGATCCCGTTAACAACCCGCAATCGAAAGGGAAATGTCAGGAAATTAAAGGGTTTGCCGTGCTTTTTGGCCTTTGAATTCAAATGGATAAAAGTATCAAATTACCGAAATGTATCCCGTGGTTATTTCCGGAGACCAACTGACTCTTAAATACCACAAAGATTGATATTGCAAGATAGCCCGCTGAAACACTGGGTCTTGGGCGCTTTAAACAAATTCGGAGCTCATTTACTAGCTTTACTGAAAAAATTGACTAAGAAAGTACTAGTGAATCATTTTTAAAACGGAAGTATGTTAATAAAGATATTATTAGAAAGTGATATTTTATAATATTTTATAATAGTTGCATCTCATTAGACTGATGGTTGTTGAATAACTAAATGATTATCAATTATATTAAAACACAATTTCTCAATTTGGACTTTGGAACCAGGGAATTCCCTTAACCGATTTGACTCAATTATAAATACAACTAAATTTTTGTTTTCTGTAGGGCTTCCTATTTTCTTTTTCTCTTATGACTATGGAAATTTTTCAAAGTCTTCTTCGCATTAGGAACTGGTTTACATATGTTCGAGTATACAGCACCTCGTAAGCTGGTAAATCACCTGGCGTTCCGGCGACTGTGTGTTCTGCCGGTGGATTTTGCATGATATAGTTGCCATATATCGTTTTTGAACGGGTACAGGTCTCTTGCAGATGATGCATGACAAATGGGCAAACCCACAAAAGGGATGCAAGCCTCTAATTAGATATGAGTTTGTCACGTCATAAAACGATTCAAGTTCATTTAGAACATACTTATAAGTTACATACTAGAGCGATGAGTAACACTGGTAGAACTAGACTGTTTCCTATTGCCAAATAACTCATGACGTGGGCAGGAATTCCTAGCCAGCGTCATTGACTTGAGGTCTTGGCTTTCCTAAGTTCGTTGCACCCAAAAGAGATGTTTTCCAAAGCATAAATTTGGAACTGAAAACCTTCGGTGTCACCCAGTGACACGCATCTTTAAGATAGTTACCGCATAATAATACTAGCCACTAGATTTGAATGTTTTAACCGCAGAGCGGAGAACAGTGGTGCCCTATTGATAAACCCGCTCTAGAGTTCCGATCGAGAACCGATCGGGGCATCTCAGTCCACGAAGCTGAAGCTGCGGCTATAAAAAGCTCCGACCAACTCCAGGTATCTCACAGTCTGTTTTATCGGGTCAACTGGAAACGTTCCAACTCGGAAGTCATTATTAACTAAATACGAGTATAGTAGCAAAAATGAAAGTGTTCGCGGCGGTTTTTCTTTGCGTTCTGATTGCCCACGAGGCCAGGGCCCAGTGTGAGTGTACTAAGCTGACTTCAGCGGTCAAATGACCATTGAAAAATCCCCCAAAATCAGGGGAAAATCGCAGCAGCGCGAGGAAGTCAAGTGCGCTTCTAATTGAGCCGGTTGGACCAGTTGGTCCGGGAACATTGCACGCGCCAAAGTGTGGGCAGTGCCCGGAGCAGAGTGATGTGTACTTGTGGTCAAGATATGATTGCACTTGGAAAGTCAGCATAAAAATCCCAATTAATTTGGAAAATTTTTCCAGGCGATTAACTAATATAGTGACTGGACTCATGATTCCTTAGAATCAAGAATAATCATCGTTTCTTTTAATATAATTTGATATTTTTATGAATTATAAACAGTCCAAAGTCTAAAAGAGTATGCCTTTAGTATTTCAACTTAATGAATCCAACGGATTAAATCGTATATTTTATGCAATACAAGTCAATGTTTTGAGGGTACAAACTGAAAACATTAATTTCTTAATTAAATGCAAGGCGAAAGATATTATCTTGCCGTTTCTTTGAGTGTGTCATGATCATTCTGTGTAGAATCACCTGCAGATCACCTGCTCCAACCGCAAGAATGTCACTAGAAGAGGCGCGCGCATTTCGGGGCATCCCCTGGAGAACCAGATTGTAATATTTTTATCTCGTCTGCAGATTCGAGATGCCTGAATCCCAACCAACGGTCTGGACTCTGTGTGCACATTAATGAATGCCAAACACTCTTCTCCGTGCTGCAGAAGTTCGCACTGACCGATCTGGAAAAGAAGTTCATCAGGTCCTCGGCCTGTGGAATGGGCGTGGATAATCGGCCCTTTGTCTGCTGCACTCAGGATACGGGTTATACGAGAAACCAGCGCCAGAATCCCTCCTTCCCAGACTACGATGGCTTTGGTGGCGATTGGGAGGAGGAGAGGCCAAACAGTTTCGTTTTCCCGGGACAAGTGACTCGGGCATTTAGCTTTGGCAATCAGCAAGCTGGGGATAATACCGTCGTTCAAAAGCCATCTACTGGTGATGGCTCTAGTTTACTCCCTCAGCCGCCTTCCTGCGGGGGCGTTGCCATCAGGAACAGGATTTACGATGGCCAGGACACTGAACTCAATGAATTTCCTTGGATGGTCTTGTTGGAGTACCGAAGACGCAATGGAAATGGCCTTTCCACCAGCTGTGCAGGTTCCCTCATCAATCAGCGATATGTCCTCACAGCTGCCCATTGTCTGACGGGAAGGATTGAAAGGGAGATCGGATCGCTGTGAGTATATATCACATCATGGGGATATCTTTAAAGGAGAGTCCAAAGTGGTTTCTTTTCAACTTTGCCTTTGCAGAAATCAGGGGATTTTATTTTCTGAGAGGCAGGTCAGAAACTTATGTTTAACCGGATTGAAGATGTTGTTATCGAAAGCATTCAGTTTTTGGTTTAGATTAAGTTGATATATATAATAATATTCCTTTATTAATATCACTTTAAGACCTATAGATCTTTCCCATATACATAAACTTTCTTAATAGTTCCCAAAAAACAAGACATTTTGAATGACTGTTGATGTTTGTGACTTTAGCCTTAGGGGATTTACTATAGTTCTGGCTAGCCGATTCATGAATGGGGCGGCAGTTCAATAGCCCAATAGCCGGTGAATCAAGTTTTAGCATTACGAATATTTAGATTGCTTCCCAATCCAGTTTCGATGGGTGGGCGAAAGTGGCTTATTCACGCTTATTTGTGCGACGATTCCGCGAACACGGCTGCATTCTCCGGCTAAATCGTTGAACGAGGCCAAAGGGATCCCCTGGTCTGGACTTGGCTAATTTCAAGAATATCAATTAGACGGCTAACCAGTGCTAAATGCGAGGTGTTTTGCCGCTTGTTAGCGCGATTCGATGATTCACTAAGTTGGCGTTCGGGTTTGGGTTCTCAATTCGCCCCGCTCTCGATTTCGCCGTTGGCCAAGCACCAATTAGCGGGCTAATTCTAGTGGTTAATTGCCTAAATGCTCATTAATTTATTTTCTGTATCTGTTCCAGTGCCTCGGTGAGATTGGGCGAGCATGACACACGTACCGCAGTGGATTGCCCCCCGGGTGGAGGAAGTTGCGCCCCGGAGGTTCAGCGTCTGGGCTTCGAGGAGATCCGGGTTCACGAAAGATATAGCGAGAAGTCCACAAACCAAGTTCACGATATTGGCCTGATTCGCTTAGAGCGCAATGTCCGCTATTCGGACAACATCCGACCCATTTGCCTGCCCTCGTCTGTGGGCCCTGAGTCTCGGCAAGCCGGTGAACAGTTCACCGTGGCCGGCTGGGGTCGTACTCTGAAAATGTCTCGCAGTCCCATCAAGCAGAAGGTCACGGTCAACTATGTGGATCCCGCCAAGTGCCGTCAACGATTCTCGCAGATCAAGGTGGCCGTGGAGTCCACCCAACTGTGCGCCGGAGGACAGTTCCGGCAGGACAGCTGCGACGGCGATTCCGGCGGTCCACTGATGCGATTCCGTGGCGACTCCTGGGTCTTGGAGGGCATCGTATCCTTTGGCTATAAGTGCGGCCTGAAGGATTGGCCAGGTGTCTACACGAACGTGGCTGCCTACGACATCTGGATCCGGCAGAATGTGAGGGCTTAGGAGAGCATCGAGCTCTGAAAAAGCTATAGCGAAATTTGTGATATTTTCTACTGCTAGTTTAGGTTAGAAACTAACTTAGATTTAAGTGCACTTGTGAAATATTTATTAGCATATATTGCAAATATAAATTTTAGAAATATCCGATTTGGCTTTTTGAAGTTTTTGTGGGGGAAGCCTTTTGGGTGGGACAACTTTTCATGACAAATTTTTTATATTTGAAAAAGCATTCCATGGCCTTGCCATTCCAAATCGAATTGTTAAAGACCTAAAAACGGTAGGCAGTAAAAAGAGATAGAGACCCTCTTTGTGAAAGTTCGACTTATCCGGACTATTCCCTGCGCCTGCGAGTATGCAATATGAAGTATATTACACCCTGACGTCAAGTTCCCATCTCATCTTAGACGGCACTGGAGCGGTCTTAACTTCTATAGTTCCCAACGAAATGTTAGGTGTTAGTTTTAACTAATTGTAAACGTGGGATAAATAAATAAACAAAAAATATTTCACCCCGACGTCAAGTTCCCATCTCATCTTGCGTTTTCCGCTCTTGACCAATTGGGGATTATATAATGTTTATAAAAAAGAAAAGAGGCCAATAGAAATAACTCGAAAACTTAGACACAATCGGCTTAAATCATATTGTAGATTTTAAAATATATTTACTTTTATTCCTTATCTTATTTAGCTAATACTCAGAATTGTTGTATTTCTTTATTATCAACTAAAAATATAAATGCAAAAAAAAAAAGTTCAAATTAATAAGAATATTTTCATGTTTATTGCAAACATTAAACATTATTTTCTAGCTTTTATAGTTTGGAAAATTCCCAAGAATTCAAACCATACAACTTATGTACGTTCTGGCTATGTTGCTGAGAGGAAAGTAATTAAACATTTTTGATTCCTCTCAATGGCATTTATAATCTTTCCAAAGGAGAAACAAGAGAGCGCCGTCTCCGAAGCCAAATGGTATAAAAAGCTTCGACAATCTTAGAAAAGTATTCAGATTGTCGGGAAGTCTGAAACAGATCAAAAGTAAAAAATCTAAAATGAAAGTGATCGCCGCGGTTTTTCTTTGTGCTCTCATTTTTCGCGATTCGCTGACTCTGCGTAAGTCTTAAAATTTGGAAATTAAACTTATGAGACCTTGAACTCTAAGGAATAGTGGCTGTGAAAAGAGATTCTTGAAGTTTCTTAAATTAGTTATATTTTAGAATTTATAAATAAATCAAATGCTCAAATATTTATAAAAACTATCTCAACTCAACTCATGAGCTTTGAATTTCCTTTGTATTACAAAGATCATTGATTAAAATGTGTTAAATTGATAGAAAATGAAGTAAAAAATAAGTAAAAGTCTTCAGAAATATTTTATTTTTAAATATATAAACAAAATTCCTCTGCTTGTAGCTCCCTCAACGCATCTACCACCCGCCAACGAGATCCCAGGTGATACCATTTGCGGAAAAGACATAGCGATGTCCCAAGTAGTAGGAGGGAAGGAAGCACTCCGCACTGACTTCCCCTGGATGGTGTTGTTGGAGTTCCTCAAAGGAAAATATCTCGGTACACAATGTGCGGGATCGGTGATTACTAGCCAATATGTTGTAACAGCAGCACACTGTCTGGACGAAGACGATGAGGACAGTCCCGGGAAACTGTAAGAAATTGGTTGTTAAATATTTTACGATGTTTTGTAATAATTTTGTGTAAACTTGCAGTCAATCTGTGATATTGGGCGTACATAACAGGAGTTCCCTCATTGATTGTCAGGGAGAGGCATGCGAACCCGGCGTTATGAAGGTGGACGTCGAGGAGACGCTGATGCACCCGGGCTATGTCAACCGAAAAACCAATTACTCCGTGCACGATATTGCCCTGATACGTTTGGCAAAAAAGGTTCCTTATACACCTTACATTCATCCGGTTTGTCTACCCTCGCTCAAGAAAGTGCAAGGCTGGATTTCAGGTCACCTTTTCTTCGCAGCAGGATGGGGTCGGACTGGGTCAAGTTATATGAGTGAGACCAAGCGAAAAGTGGGGTTAAACTTTGTGGAAAAAGATAGATGTAGCCGCAAGTGGTTAGAAAAGGAACGCGTTAGGTTGATAGAATCTCAAATATGTGCCGGCGGTAAGGAGGGAAATGACACCTGCCATGGGGATTCCGGGGGGCCTCTGATGACATTTCAAGAAGGAGTCTGGTTTCTGGAAGGTATAGTGTCCTTTGGCCACAAGTGCGCACAAAACGGTTGGTCTTCTATATATACGGACGTTAGTAAGTACGAAGACTGGATCAAGGAGAACATGAGGCCATAGAAAACGGTTATCATTTATTATTAATTATTCTAAAGAAATACTATTAATCTGGTAAACATATATGAAATTCTCTCAATAAAAATTTACCAAGCAGAACGAAATTTTCCAGAACCAATAAAATAGTTTTTTACTTGTAATCACATCTACAGAAAATAGTTGACAAAAGAAATGAGTTTACGAATGAAGAACAGGGAAGTGTACTTGGACCCTTCCTGTGTCCTGTCGGCCACCGGCAGCAATACTGATGACGTCTCCCCTGCGAAACTGCACCTGGCCACTTATGCTATCGACACCTGCACGCTAGCTTCCCACGCATCGCATTAAACTGCAACTAATGCAAACTTTTGAAGCCTACTTGGACGTACGCCATTCCAGTGTGGGGCACTGCCTCTAAGCATCAGCTTGGGTTGCTTAGAGTTATGCAATCACGTGCAGCTCCGCGAGCATTAGGGCATCCCTGGTGCGTTACAAACTGTGCTATCGAAACGTACTTTCGACTCTTATTCGTAGGTGACCAAATTAATCTGCACAGCAGTCGTTATGCTGACTGCATCCTGCACACCCAAACTCACTGGCGAGTGGCCTGACGGCTGAAGAAGCTACATCCCCCCGATCTGCCTAGCCGTAAGATCTCTTGATATGTGCTCACTTCGCTTTGTATATATACTGCATATTATAAACGAAAAGTAGAAACATAAACAATAATGTTCAAATTAATCAGATAGATAATTTTCTAGCTTATTCAAACATGTGTGGCAAACATTAAACATTATTTTTCAGCTTTTATAGTTTGGGAAATTTCTTAGAATTCAAACCATACACTTTATGCACGTTCTGGCTATGTTGCTGATAGGAAAGTAATTAAACATTTTTGATTCCTCTCAATGGCATTTATAATCTTTCCAAAGGAGAACCAAGAGAGCGCCCTCCCCGAAGCCAAATGGTATAAAAAGCTTCGATAATCTTAGAAAAGTATTCAGATTGTCGGGAAGTCTGAAACAGATCAAAAGTAAAAATGAAAGTGATCGCTGCTGCTTTTCTATGTGTTCTCATGTTTCGCGATTCCCTGACTCTGCGTATGTTTTAAAGTTCGGAAATTAAAGTTATAAGACCTTGATCTCTAAGGGATAGTGGGTGTGAAAGAGATTCTTGAAGAGTCTTTATTAATAAGTTACTTAGCAGTTTCTTTAAGCGAGGATGAGCTTTGAATTTTCTTTATCTTAAGAAATCGCTGATTGAAATGTGTTAAATAAACAAAATTCCTCTGCTTGTAGCTGTCTCAACGCCTCTACCACCTGCCAACGAGATCCCAGGTGATACCATTTGCGGAAGAGACATAGCGATGTCCCACGTCCTGGGAGGGAAGGAAGCACTTCGCACTGAGTTCCCCTGGATGGTGTTGTTGGAGTACCACAATGGAGATGATATTAATACACATTGTGCGGGATCGCTGATTAGTAACCAATATGTTATAACAGCAGCGCACTGTCTGGACGAAGAATCTAAGCGCAGTCCCGGAAATCTGTAAGAAATTGGTTGTTAAATATTATATTTTAGGTTGTTGTTAATAATTTTGTGTAAACTTGCAGTCGATCTGTGATATTGGGCGTACATAACAGGAGCTCCCCCATTGATTGTCAAGGAGGGAGATGCGAACCCGGCGTTATGAGGGTGGACATCGAGGAGACGCGGATGCACCCCGATTATGTCAACGGATCCGACAACTCCGTCCACGATATTGCCCTGATCCGTTTGGCAAATAAGGTTCCTTATACACCTTACATTCATCCTGTTTGTCTACCCTCGATCAAGAAGGTGAATGGCTGGGAATCAGGTCGGCTTTTCTTCGCAGCAGGATGGGGTCGGACTTCGTCAGGTTATATGAGTGAGACCAAGCAAAAAGTGGGGTTAAACTTTGTGGAAAAAGCTAGGTGCAGCCGCAGGTGGCTTCGAGATGGCGTTAACTTGACAGAAACTCAGATATGTGCCGGCGGTAAGGAGGGAAAGGACACCTGCCAAGGGGATTCCGGGGGACCACTGATGTCATTTCAAGAAGGAGTCTGGGTTCTGGGAGGTATAGTGTCCTTTGGTCATAAATGCGGTCAGAAGGGTTGGCCTTCTATCTATACGAACGTTATTATGTACGATGACTGGATCAAGGAGAACATGAGGCCATAGAAAATGGTTATTATATTTAATTATTATTCTAAATTATCACGAATATATAAAATTTTCTCAATATAAACGTGGCGAGAAAATCGGAATTTCCCAGAAACAATAAAATTGTGTTTCACTTGTAGATGTGAGCCCAGAAAGTAGCTATCGAAAGAGAAAAGTTTACGAATGAAAAGCAATGTTTGATTTTCGGGGGACAATCGGGAGCCGAACAGCTCATGATGCTGATGGTATAAAAAGATCGGCTACTTATTAAAAGATTTTCATTTTTCTACGGAGTCTGGAAGAGATAGATGTCGATGTGAAGAAAGTTCAAAGCAAAGATGAAAGTGATCGCTGCGGTCTTTCTGTGGATTATGATTAGCCATGAAGCTAGCGCCCAGTGTAAGTTTTGGTTTGAGAAAAAGTTCTTCTTACTCAGAAAAATGTGAAATAAGTGTCTAAAATATATTAAAATTTGGAATGTAATTAAATTTTTATACACCTAGAGATAAACGGGGATCATTTTTCTCAATATAAACTAGCAATATCTTAAAGAGGAAAGAAAAAAGTAACCTCATCTTGTAAATAAGCTTGTAACTTCTCTAAGTAAATCGGAATTTGTACTTCGTGTTTATAATAAAAAGTGTAACCCGACAGATAGGGGATGTCGAAATCCCAACCATCGAACTGGACAATGTATTGAAATCACTCAGTGCCCCACCTTGAACTCCCAATTGATGAAGAGGAGCTTAACCGATTCCGAGAGGCAGTTCATCAGAGCCTCACGATGTCCATCTGATCAGGGCAACCAGGTTTATTTTTGCTGTACTCAGGATAAAGGCTATTTAAGGATTCCTCCTGTCCCACCCCCGACAACCGCCTTTGCGTATGATCCGAATTTGGTTCCCGGTAAAAATATTTGTGGAGGTGATGTCGTGCAGACCCAAATCCTTGGGGGGGATGAAGCCCTCCGCACTGAGTTCCCCTGGATGGTGTTGTTGGAGTATCACAATGGAGATGATATTAATACACATTGTGCCGGATCGCTGATTAGTAACCAATATGTTATAACAGCAGCGCACTGTCTGGACGAAGAATCTAAGCGCAGTCCCGGAAATCTGTAAGAAATTGGTTGTTAAATATTATTTATATTTTAGGTTGTTGTTAATAACTTTGTTTAAACTTGCAGTCGATCTGTGATATTGGGCGTACATAACAGAAGTTCCCTTATTGATTGTCAGGGAGGGAGATGCGAACCCGGCGTTATGAGGGTGGACATCGAGGAGACGCGGATGCACCCCGATTATGTCAACGGATCCGACAACTCCGTCCACGATATTGCCCTGATCCGTTTAACAAAAAAGGTTTCCTATACACCTTACATTCGACCTGTTTGTCTACCCTCGACCAAGGGCGTGAAAGGCTGGCAATCAGGTCAGCTGTTCTACGCAGCAGGATGGGGTCGGACGTCGTCAGGTTATATGAGTGAGACCAAGCAAAAAGTGGAGTTAAACTTTGTGGAAAAAGCTAGGTGCAGCCGCAGGTGGCTTCGAGATGGCGTTAACTTGACAGAAACTCAGATATGTGCCGGCGGTAAGGAGGGAAAGGACACCTGCCAAGGGGATTCCGGGGGACCACTGATGTCATTTCAAGAAGGAGTCTGGGTTCTGGGAGGTATAGTGTCCTTTGGCCACAAATGCGGTCAGAAGGGTTGGCCTTCTATCTATACGAACGTTATTATGTACGATGACTGGATCAAGAAGAACATGAGGCCATAGGTAGACATAAAAGAAATTTTCTCAATAAAAGCGTTCCAAGCAGCACGAAATTTCCCAGAAACAATAAAATTGTTTTTCACTTGTAGATGTGAGCCCAGAAAATAGCCGTCGAAAGAGATAAGATAATGAAAAGCAATGTTTGATCTTCGGGGGACAATCGGTTGTCGAGCAGCTCACGATGCCGATGGTATAAAACAATCGGCTACTTATTAAAAGATTTTAATCTTTTTACGGAGTCTGGAAGAGATAGATGTCGGTGTGAAGAAAGTTCAAAGCAAAGATGAAAGTGATCGCTGCGGTCTTTCTGTGGATTATGATTAGCCATGAAGCTAGCGCCCAGTGTAAGTTTTGGTTTGAGAAAAAGTTCTTCTTTCTCGGAAAAATGTGACTTATATATCTAAAATTATCATAAAAAGGAAAGAAAAAGTAACATCATCTTGTGAATAAGCTTCTCTAGTAAAAACATACTGAGACTTTATTATTGTTGAAACTTGGCTGGAAAACCGATAAGAGTTCTTGTAAAATTTGTAACCCGACAGATAGGGGATGTCGAAATCCCAATTATCGAACTGGACAATGTATGGAAATCACCCAGTGCCCCGCCTTAAACTCCCAATTGATGAAGAGGAACTTAACCGATTCCGAGAGGCAGTTTCTCAAGGCCTCCCGCTGTCCATCTGATCAGAGCAACCAGGTTTTTGCATGCTGTACCCAGGATAAAGACTATTTAAGGATGCCTCCTGTCCCACCCCCGACAACCGCCTTTGCGTATGATCCGAATTTGGTTCCCGGTGACAATATTTGTGGAGGTGATGTCGTGCAGTCCCATATCCTGTCGGGCATAGAAGCTGTCCTTACTGAGTTCTCCTGGATGGCATTGTTGGAATACGTCTCGTTAGAGGGAAAGGAAATCAAAACGAACTGTGCTGGCTCGCTGATCAATCAGCAATATGTTTTAACAGCAGCCCATTGCGTGACGGGGAGGATGTTAGCCAATCGTACACTGTAAGAATTTGCTTATCCAATATCTTTATGGTTTTTTAGTTAGTTCCTTACAGAGTCTCTGTGAGATTGGGAGAACACGATACCAGAACACCGTTGGATTGTCGTCAAGGAATATGCTCATCGAACATTGTGCGAAGGGGGATCCAGGAGATACGCTGGCATCCGAACTACACTAATTTATCCATATCCTCCCCGCACGATATTGCCCTGGTCCGCCTGACGAGTAAGGTTTCCTACACGCCGTACATTCGACCTATTTGCCTGCCCTCGACTGTGGGCGTGGATGGCTGGGAAGTCGATCAGCTTTTTATTGTAGCAGGTTGGGGTTATACTCTGGAAGGCACAACCAGTCCCACCAAACAAAAAGCGGGGGTCAAACATGTGGACAACTCTTGGTGCCGTCGCCGATTTGCAGAAGTCAATGTTGACGTGGAAGAAACTCAGATATGTGCCGGCGGTGAGGAGGGAGTTGACAGCTGCACTGGTGATTCCGGGGGTCCACTAATGGCATTCCGTAGAGGCGTCTGGGTCCTGGGAGGCGTAGTGTCCTTTGGCCGCAATTGCGGACAGAACGGTTGGCCTGGAGTCTACACGAACGTTGCCAAGTACGATGACTGGATCAAGCGGAGCATGAGATCATGATCAAGAAGGTATTTCTGGGGGTTCTGTATATATATATTTGGTTATATGTAACAAAAAATACCATTATCAAAAGCCTCTTATCAGTATCTGTCTTTAAAATAATCTTCAATGAAATTAACCTCATGGCTGCATTCTGCGGTGTAGGAATTCTTTTTCTTGGGCTTAATCAATCTGTCATTAAATGAATTAAAACATTTTTGATAACATTGTTAAGTAATGCGTGTTCAGAGTGGATTTTGAACACCCAGAGCCACCCCAGCAAGGTGACTGACCGACCTGCTCCGAAAAACCTTTGGATTTCCCACCAGAATTCGACACCTCCAACAATCGCCGGGCAAAACGACATTGCCACCGCGTTTTAATTGGCGGCCTTTACGGCCACAGAAAACCACAAGAAAACTTCCGGTATTGGCAGGTGTTATGCTTTGTGCCGTGGACTTTGGCCAAAATGGCAAATGGCGGAGCTTTTGGCACTTCGCTGCCTCCTAAAAGTGGGCAATACATTTGTTCTTGGCTTAGAGCTTTGGCCAGGCCGAGAGGCAGTCTCTCACCTTCAACGAAAGTGAAACCAGCTGGCCAGCTGAGTGATGGTTATGCAATATGTATTATAACCGGACCATCCGGACGATCGCTGGACTTGCCGACTACTGCACTTTTGGACTCGTTTTTCGCCGCCTAAATGGGGCGGGGGCGGGCTCATTTGTTGACACCTGAGTTGGAGCTTTGGAGACTGAAGACTGAAGACTGTAGACTGGGGGTCGGCTCTTCGGCTCTTCCGACTTTTCGGGGTCTTCGGCTTCTCGCCTCGTCGTCGCCTTGTTTTTGTATTTCTTATTTTTTGGCACTCCGCTTATACAAACTGCGTTGCCATTCAGTTTCGGTTCGTAAGCCTTTGCCGCCGCTTCTTCTTGCCAACACGATCGCTCGTATTGGATTGTATCTGATTGATTCGAGATCACATAGATACTGTCACCCATGCTCGGTTCGGTTCTTCGACTATGGATATTCTTCGGCTGCTCCTGCCGCCTGCTTATCCTCGCTGAAGTCCTTCAGGAGTGCGACATTCCCAATGAAGCCAAAAGGGGCGTTTGCCTGGAGGTCAGCCGGTGCGGAGCGTATCTTCAAGTTCGAAATGCCACCAACTTGCCGGCGGAGAAGGTGAACTTCCTGAAGAAGGTGCAGTGCGAGGTGGAGCAGCAAGTCTCCGAGGCGGAGGGTGCCTACGAATCCTTGGTCTGCTGCCCGGCAAATGGCCAGGATTACCTTTATCCCGTGCTGCAGTTCTCAAAGTTCGAGTATCGCAGATTTCTGGATGTCACAGCCCGGTTTAAGCGAAAGAAACTTAAAGCGGCGGATTCAAACTGTGGAGCCCAGTTCGGGGTTTAACCTTCTGAACGAATGTGGCAAGCAGGTGACCAACCGAATTTATGGCGGAGAAATAGCCGAACTGGACGAGTATCCTTGGCTGGCCCTGCTTGTCTACAACTCAAGTGAGTTCGAGAACTAGTAAATACTTTTACTTAACTATAAAGAATATTTCCCGAATATTTTCCAGATGACTATGGTTGCAGTGGAGCCCTTATAGACGATCGTCACATTCTAACCGCAGCTCATTGCGTTCAAGGCGAGGGAGTTCGTGATCGAAGAGGATTGTAAGTCAAATTTAGGTTTATATCCTAGGAAAACTGTAAGAATTTTCCACTTCGATTAGAAAGCATGTGCGTTTGGGCGAATTCAATGTGAAAACCGAACCCGACTGCATCGAGGAACCCAACTATTTGAGCTGTGCAGACGCCGCCTTGGACATTGGCTACGAAAAGATCCATGTCCATCCGGAGTACAAGGAGTTTTCCAACTACAAATACAATGACATTGCCATTATACGGCTGAAGCATCCCGTGTCCTTTACCCACTTCGTCATGCCTATCTGTCTGCCTAATAAGTCCGAACCTCTGACTTTGGCCGAGGGTCAGATGTTCTCCGTTTCCGGATGGGGTCGCACGGATTTATGTGAGTACCTTACTGATTTGGGGATATATGGTCAGGGAACTGAAAAGTCAGCTTGGAGGGCTATATAGTTTCTTGATGGTTTATCTCAGTTCATGAGACATTGCTTTGTTTTTCTATGTTTTTATTTGTTTACAAAACAAAGCGGCTTGATTGAGGGAAACAGTTAAAAATAACATTAATGTTAAATAATCTTGTTTACACCTTCAATGGAAGTTTTAGTTAAATTCGAGACATGGGTTTTTCCTCTCTATTCGCTTAAATCAATCAATAGATATACTCGTGCCTAAGTTAGTTAAGTTCTGTAGCTGTGAGAAGGAGCAGAATCTAAACTCTTCTTAATAAATATCTAAATTGTCCTCCATTTCAGTCAACAAGTACTTCATCAACATCCACAGTCCCATAAAACTAAAGCTGCGCATTCCTTACGTCTCCAATGAGAACTGCACCAAGATCCTGGAGGGTTTCGGAGTGCGTTTGGGTCCCAAGCAAATCTGTGCTGGCGGAGAGTTCGCAAAGGACACGTGTGCTGGGGATTCCGGAGGACCTCTGATGTACTTCGATCGCCAGCACTCTCGGTGGGTGGCCTACGGCGTGGTCAGCTACGGATTCACGCAGTGCGGAATGGCCGGCAAGCCGGCTGTCTATACTAACGTGGCCGAGTACACGGATTGGATCGAAAGTGTTATTCAGCAGAAAAAGAGTCAACAGACGCAGGCCAAATTGCCTTGACGTCAGATTTGATATATTTTTTTATTCGGGAGGGGGAAGAACAATTGGCGCCTAATTGAGTTGGGCGGCGGCTGGGGGGCGGATCTATTTACCGCCGCCAGCATGTTTGTACATATTTTGCTAATTATCTAACAGCCATCAACTATTTGGCTAAGCGTGTGAGTGAATGAGTGCGGAATGTGAGTTCGCGCTAACAAAAGTCTGAAAAACATGTTTCTATTTAAATAAACTACTGAAATATTTACCCCTTCTGTTGCGATTAATTGAGGGAAAAGCTGCTCTCGAAGATTGCCGCTGACTCAGTCGGGAAATTGACTTGGCATGGTGTTACTTGATACCCCTGGAAAATGGTCGCCTTTATTGAAAACTCAAGAAAGTGTTCTTCGATCTGCCCTGTAAATCTTGAACTTCTGGCAATCAACGTTCCGATTTGGGAAAATATTTTGATTAAGAGTCGTAAAAAACTGATAAGCTTCTTGAAGGTCTACGACACTATAAGACTGAGAAGAAATCTCTTAATGATCTTTAATCTCAAATAATTCATTTGAGTTTTGTTGTTTAACTTGATTAGCGGAACTGATACCTTATCCAATTATTAGCTTTTTTTGTACCTCATCATGGTTTTTAAATAGTCTTTGCTTTACCATAAACCTACCATATATTTCTCTAAGTGCACTCACTGGCGCCTTATCTTTCCCGTCCGTTGTCTATCAGCTGTTCAGCCAAGCAACTGGCTGGTCAGACCCGCTGGTGCAGTGGTCTTCGGCTTGATGTCGTCATTGATTGCCACACTTTGCTTTCACCCGCCATTCGCGTGCACTCAAAACGTGGCTAAAAAAAAGAGGAAAAAAAAAAAAATGCTTAACTAGCCCAATGATGCAATGGCTGCCAAAAAGCAAGCCGAGTCCACAAGACGATCCATATCGGTGCCCAAATCGATGCCAGGCCATTCATCAGGCCTGCGCTGGATCCGAAAATAGCCAGAAGCCCAGAAAAGAGCCGCTCCATTGGCCATTTGTATGCGATGCGCAGGTGTTGTGGCCAAGTGCCAGTGGGCCACTGACCAAAATTGGCTAAAACCGAACGCCGAACGCCGCGAAACTGAAAGCCGAGTAAGCCGAATCCACCGAATACATCGAATTAACCGAAAATCGAGGGAAGACTACTCATCATCATGAGTGCGTCATGGAGTGAAAGTGAACTTGACTCTTCGACGGGCTGCATTTGATTTAATGCCCCCAGCCGGTGATTATGATGTCTCCATTAATATTCATGATGTTTATCAGCTGGCGACGACACCTGTTCCGAAAACCAGATCCAAGACTTTGAGGCGCCACCTTATAGTTGGCCCAGTCTCAGTTCCACTCCCACTCCCAGTCCCAATGATTGTGCACTTCATTATCGGCTTTTTGGCGATTTTTGTTTAACCTTGAACCACATATACACACACACAGATAGCCACTTGCAGATACAAACTCACACACGGACAAAATAGATACGGAATTGGCAAACATGAGTGACATTGAAAGGCAGGGCTTTTCGTGGAACGGTCAGCGAGAAACTGGGTGAAATGATAACCGGTTTCTGAACTGGAACTGAAGCTAAGTGAGAGATTCCCACTTAAGGCTAATTGTGTTTTAATAATGAGCAAATAAGTATATTTATGGTGGAATATAACACCTTTATATGAAGCAAAGTATCTACAATAATGAACAGCAATCCGACTTGCCAGAACCATAAGTTCAGTCGCGCTTTAGAGATACATCTCTTATCATTCAGACTAACACACAAAGCTTGAGTCATTTTTTGCGTTTTAAATTAGTTTCTCTCGCTAAAGTTTAGATCGCAATTAATATTTAGAAAAATTCATGAATTTATTTTAAATTTTCTAGACTACAAATCAAATTTGGACATCTGGTGAGCCGGCAATTGCCGTGTCAATCAAAACATCGACCAAATGGCGACCACAGGAGCATTGACTGGGCAACTGGGCGTAGTAATTGGGTTATGACCACGCCCACTGGGCAATTATAAAGTCAATTTGAGCTACTTTACCAGGGGTCCAGAGCTCTGCGGAAAATTACAAAAGCAGAGAGAGAGCAGAAAGCGGAAAAGTCTTCTAATCAATTTAGCAAAGGGCAACCCTCTGAAGTTTGATAATTGCATTGGGCTGCGCTTTGTGAGAAGTTTGTTTTCAAAAGTGGGAAATTAGAAGGCAAGCTGGAAAATTAGCCATATGGCGAAGGAAGAAGGGAAGGGTTTTCCAGGTAGAGCTCTGCTTTGTTTACCCCCCTCATAAGACTGGCAATTGCATTTCCATTTCCATTTTCATTGCCATTTCCATTTATCGGCAGCTGATACCCTCCTCGACTATAAAACTTTATCGACTTGTTAACTGAGCGGCGTATCAATAAATGCCAACGTGCGACACAGACGTTGACATGCCATTAAATGTCACTGCCAAGTGCGTCTCAGGACTCACATATCCTGGCTCTGGCTCTGAGTCCTTTGAATTTTTGCATGAGGACGAGGGTGCTCGAAGCGCCCCTCAGGACTGGGCAAGGGTAACTGCTAGCATTTGGGCCAAATTGTTGTATAAACTCAATGAAATTAAAATGCGAAAAAGCGGCAAATGGGAGTGAATATAAATAAATGGCATACGGATCGGTTTCATTAGTTAATGGATTGTCCGCAGAGAGTGGCAGTTTCTGCTTATCGGAAGAATAACAAGAATGGAGAACAGACTTAGTACTGCAATCTGAACTGCACTCTCTTTCTGAGATTATGCGTATATTTTATGAGCTCTAGCTGTGGCAGCTACTACTCTCAATCGCAATTTGCAACTCAATCAAATCGGTCAGAATGCCCAGCTGTCTGATGTTCTTCCTGTTCTACGGGTTTATGCTGATTGCTGGAAGGGAAATGGAGTCCAAAGAGGTTTGTTAATCAATTTCTGTTAGCTTAAATATATAAAACTATTTTAAACTAGGACAAGGCCAACTTTCACACAGATTTAATTGAAAGAAATTCACAGCAAACGGATCTTAAAGCTGAGGTAAATATGTGAAGAAATGTGAGAACAATGTTAGACTTCTTTTTTGCAGAATGAGAATGTCTCTTGTATCCATATTTTTGATGAGGTGATTGTTACTGTAAAATTTACTTAATAAGATTTAAAATAACTTTGTTTCCTTAAGCAGGCGGATCCTTCAACGAAAGTCCGTCTTAATAGATTGACTTTTGGTGGACGGAGAGTGACAGATCACTTGGGGAGAAGAGTTGGGACTAATTATCGAAGAAAGTCAAACAAAACAATAAGAAATAATACTCTTCGAGCTTTAATAAACAATTAAAAAGAACAGCAGTGTATGCTTCCTATTTCTACAAAGCGGTTTTGGACTCTTTTCTTATTGCTATTAGGTAGAGTCTGTATCATAGAGATTCCCACGAAAAGAACTTCGCCCTTCGCATCCCAAGAAGATGACTTGTAAGGGTATAAGGTCACTGTAAGTTGATAGACTATAAGAAAAACTTAATCCTAAACTTCTTTGTACTATTCTAAACTTTTTTTTTGTATAAAAGTTTTCGTGCTTTTACATCTGTGAAAGAAACAAATACCTTTAGCTGAGTTCTAAGATTATCAAAGAAGCATCTGACATAGCCGTGATATTGATAAAAATTCTTATAGAAGTTAATTACAGTACATAGTATATATAGCACACTATAGTTGTAGCTTATGCCAGTTAGTTTTTTACACTTCATACTTAATGTAGAGACTTAATATCCCCATAAGTATGCCACCTTAAAGAAAAGCTTTGTCAGAGACGCGACTGTACTAAGTTAAGCAACAATAAAGTCGCTCCTCGCACGTGGCCATTAAATTAAGAATAAATAAAATCTGAGTCCAGATTCCGAGATCCTTCACATGCCATCACCATAATCGCTCTGTAATGGGAAAACTGTCTCGCGATAATAATCATAATCATCATCATGCCTTTCCTTTTCAGAGTAATAATCGGGCACGTGAGTCGAGCAAATGATGACTTTCGCTCTTTGCGAAAATTATTATTCGGGAAATTTGCATAGACAAATGGCAACCCTCATGAAAATTGGGTTGTTGAAGCCGCGTTCAATATTTATTAAAAATTAGCAAAAAGCTGTTGGAAAATCATTACACAAACAGAAAGTAATTGCAAAATCAAGCAGACAACGTGCTGTCGCCCGACTTCCTTCCGGTTTTATAATTTTCTTTTTTCTTTTGGGGGAAATGGTTTGGGAGGGAAGGGAGGTGTTCTTGGTACCTTACCTGTATTTGCAAGGAAGAAAATTAATTCAAAAGGTGGGGAAGAGTTAAGGAAAATCAGCTTAGAATGTAGAAATTAAAGAAAATAAATCGAAATTCTTTGTTTTTCTTCGTTTTGAGCAAACTTGAAGAAAAGCTAAGGTTGTGGCACTTCTTATATAGAGCACTGGGTCATGTTGCGGGTCAGAGCCTCAGGGCACTTGCAGGTCAGCCAACAATAAAGGAATATTTAATTCCAATTACACAAAGGCCCATTTGCATAGGGAAAAGTGAAACTCAATTACAAGAATTTTGTAACTTTTTGCTCTAATTGAACTTTTCAGCCGCTGAGCAAACAAACCACCGCCCTGGGGACATTTTGTTTGGTGGGTGTGGCTGAACAAACAGCGACATATGTGAATGTCGGAAGGGGAGGTGGAAGGGGTGTTGGTTCTAACATCATGTTCGAGACTGTACGCTGAGATGACAAATTCGTGTCATTTGGCCAGGGAAATAAATAAATAAGGTGAGCAGCCATGTCACATATGAGGGTATGGGAAAACACTTGCAAGTTTCCCAAGGTTTCAAGAGGATTTTTCTCTAACATTCTTCGGGTTTTTCCCCCCTCCTGGAAGAGGTTGCAAAAGTTGAAGTTGCTCAACATGGACAGTTTTTGCACATTAGCACGCAGCACTCGAGATAATGCGGTGAATTCGGGAAAGGACCTCTTGAGCCTGTCAGCCAGACACTTAAAGGAACTCCCAGTCTCCCTTCCTTCGACAGATTTGGAAAGTCAAATACAATTTGATAGCCGGGTTTGGACAAAGCCAGAAAAGACCAGCTAACGAGGCTGGAGAAAGGTTAGAGAGCCGCAGGCGGGACTTCAGATACAAAACGTTTCAAATTGGACCACATGCGGACCTCAGCCAAATCCAAATCCGAATCCAACCCATCCCAGCCAGCCCGAAAACATTCGGGCAACCCACCAACTATGCAAATAACATTAATTGTTTCGCCAAACAAAGGAAATGCAAAACAATAATCATGAAATAGGGAAAATGGGTAAATGGGAAAACGAGAGGAAATGGAAACGATACAATTTGGATTTCGAATTGATGTTGGAAAATTATAATGCACATAACCCTAACTCCGGGCAGTCGCGCTAAGCGGAAGCGATTCGTTTAAATTTGATATGGGATATGGTATATGGCATGTGGTACACGGGGATATCGAAGGTACAGTCAGACAGTGCGAACCAACCCCATAAAGCGATTTCCATGGACTTACAGGGGTGGGAGACAGCAAGCGGGCGAATACATCAAACACCAACCCTGGCGCATTTTTGGGTTACGAGGTGAAAATCCCCTGCTCCGCAGACTCCTTCAAGATGCCCTTCGCGATTCAGCCACATATGCTAAGAATGCACTTGGAAAAATCTTTGGTTTTTTAGGATTTATTTTGGTTTGTTTTTTATACATTTTTAATATTAAGGTATGAGGTTTAAACTCCGAAAGGAAAGCAGGAAAAAACTTTATTTAACATTTATAGATTTTGATTTTCAGATTTTAGAAACTGAAACTTTAAACTTTCTTTGAGTGTCTGTTAAAGTTTTCTTTTAATCGCTCAGAGCGAATGGCGAACAATGAGAGCAACCTCTTGCCGCCGCCTTTTCCCGTTCCATCTCGTTTTCCATCTCCAGTGACTTTTCCCTCTTCACGGCCTTATTGTTGCTGTGCCTGTGTTACAGTCCAGCGATTTGCATATGAATGAACGTAATAAGGCAGGGCAAATTAAAAGTAAGCAGAGCACCCAACTCCATCTCCAACTCCTTCTCCTTCTCCTGATCCGAATCCAAATCCATTCCTTAACCTTACAAAAGAAGGCACATATGGAGTACCCGAAAGTGATGGTTGTTACTGGTAATGAAACATTCCACGAGTGCGGAATTAATAGGAATGATTTGTCTTTTGTTGTTGGTCGGGAGAAAGGTCGCGGGAAGGACTCTCTAAATTGCATTCAAATGTTAAATTGAGCGGAAGGAGGAGGACGATGAAGTTGAGACTTCGAGGGGAGGGAAGAACAATAAGGAGACGTTTGATAAACCAATCTATATGTAGGGTTTGGTATTTAGGGATCTTAAAGCTGTAAAAGTAATACAGTTTCAATATATTAAGACAGCAACAAGCTACTCAGGACTTTCCTTTATATAGAACCTTTCTAATCTATAGATTAATAAGATAGAAACTCTTCCAAGTCTCATTACCTAGTCAAATCCAATAATATACACTTTCCATTTCCATTAAGACACCCATTTAGTTGGACTAAATTAAGGTATCCCCTTAGGTCCGCAGTCCAAGCTCCCTAATTGCAATCCCAGTGAACTGCGACTAATCAAGTTCCATTTTCCACTCACGCCAATCCCTTGATTGACTCCAATTATCGGTTTGCTCCGTCAGATCCGAATGCCGAATGCCATATCACAAGTCCATGCACGAATGCTAAAGAAGGAAATTACTTAAATCGAAATTACGCCGCATTAGGCCAAGGAAGACCAAGGGTCCGGTTCTTTAGCCCTGGCACGACATCAACATTGAAATTTAATCAACTTGGTTTTTCCGGCCAACTACTCATCGATGGTGATTTTTTTTTTTTACTATGCTAAGAGCACAAATGATCCCGGCCAGCCCGAGTGACCAGCAAGGGAAAGACCCTTCTTGGCACGCATGGAGTTCATTGATTAACGATTTCCAGAGAGCAGAGTTTTCCCTCAAGGGAAAAGCCGGACACGCACACACATCACATAATCAAAAAATTAAAATCTCTTTATGTTTTTATGCGCGCTGATTGAATGGTTCTATTGTTGTTATTGCCGGACAGTTTGATGTGCCATTGATGGACTCAACTAATCGCTGGCCACCACCCCTCGGAAGCTAGGCATGAACCCCTCCTGGTCATCGCCAGTCGAGTGTAATGGATACGAGAAAAGGACTAGAAACATTATCCTTTTGGCCGCGGGCGCGCGGGAAAAGCGCTGGGAAAACCAGAAAAAAGAGGATGAGTCCGTTAACCGCGACCGGGGAAAATGGAAATTGTTGCTCCTTTGTGTGGCTTCACTTTCACATGTGGCAAGAACCATTTTCCCAGGTAGCATTTAATTAAGGCTCAGTGCCGCGAGCTTCCTGCTAATCTCTAATCAGGTTATTACCAGGACTTTCCAGCGCTTCCCTTTGAGGTTTGGTTCCCTTTTGATTCGCTAATTGGAAGTGAGCGTGTGTGTGTGTAGTGTGTGTGAGGAAAGGGGCGGGGGATTTCACACCTCATGTCCTCGAGAAGACAAGAGAGAGCTGGTCTGACAGGTTTGAGGTCCTTTGAAGTGGACCTGGAACAAAGAACCGCCTTAGTTTGTCAACTATTGTGCCGCTTTTTCATGGTGAACACTAAGAGAAAAGGAATCTTCTTTTGGAAGAGGACACATTTTTCCTTTCTAAGGACTTATCAATATCCCTTTCCATTTCTTCCAGTTTACGTTCTCTTCTAAACTCTACAACTTGAAATGGAAGTGACCCTGGACAGCTGCTGGAGGAGGGAAACTCCTCGAGAGTGTTTGGCCAAGAGTCTTAAAGTATCACTCGAGGAATCCAATAAGCCGCCCGGGGCCAAGACAATGGCGCACCAATAGCAAACCAATGACAATCATCGGAGCGATGATGGGCTAGATTTCAGCTAGAAATGAGGATGATGACTAAGCAAGGTCCACCCTCGGGGAAAGTCGTTACCCACCCCCTCTCAGCACTTTTCCTCGCTTTTATTGCAATTTGCGAAAATTTACTGGCAGAGAAAGTGAAAGGAGCAGCTACGATATTTGATTACGAAATGGCACGGGCCATGGCGAAACTATTCACGAGTCAATAATGATAAACATAAAGCCAGAGATTGTGAGGAGTGGAGAAGAAGTGCTGACATCTGATGCCAAGGACTTGCGCCCAAGGACCCCCAGTGGACCAGGCCAGGCATTAATTGCCGAAATTAAATTTATTTCCTTCATTAATACATGGATACACCAGGCGAGATGT